TAAGCTCTTATATATTAATGGGCACCTCACGCATTTGTCCTGGGTTTGAGGACTAACACTCATGTCGTCTACATTAAAAAGCAAAAGTAAGGCCCTTCCTTTCATCTTCCTGTTACCATCACCAAATAAAATAATATCTTAATAAAACAAATTACACTAAGTCACTACTCAAAAGCTTCCAATCTTGCCTGGAAGGACCCTGATCTTGGGCTCGGGCTTTTATCTCCTTACTCTAAATAGTGTTTCGGGTCAGCCAAGGCAAATAGCAGGGTCCTGCCTCAACAAATGAATGAATGGCCAGGCACTGGTGGCGCACGCCTTTAGTTCCAGCACTCGTGAGGCAGATACAGGCACATCTTTGTGAGCTCGAGATCAGCCAGGTCTGCAGAGCGAGTGCCAGGACAGGCTCCAGAGTTGCAGAGAAACCTGTCTCGAAAAGCAAAAGGAACCAACTAAATGAATAAATAACAACTGATCTTACGTTGAGGGTGTAGCTCTGTGACAGGAAGCTGGCTTAACAAGTTCGAAGACTTAGGATTTATCTACGGCGAATACCTTGTTAAAAGAACGCTTTATTGCCACTTGCAAAATGGGTCCTGTCCATTTTTTTAAACTGTGCAAGTCATCTAAAGCAGTCCGCTGAGCCACGTGTTCATCTCAATTGAACATCCGGCCCTTGACTTTTCACATCCTTTCGGAGCCCAGGAACTTAAAAAGACATTCAAATGTGCTCAGCTGTTTCGATCTCTCTTTTAAGTCTTATCCCACTCTCTGTCCCACACAGGCCTTTCGGTTCAACACCTCCATCTGACCTACCTTAAAGATGGCGTAGCCAACGGACGTCTCAAATAAGACCAGCATGGTGAGGCCGGGTCACGGCGCTGCGCGGCTGGCCGCGAGCTCTCACCCCACTGAAACGCCTAACCTCTCGGCCACTGAAGGCCCGCTAGGCCTCGGAAGCGAGAGCGCAAATGCGTTCGCCTCCCCGGGAGCTGCTGGACCACGCCGCCCAAACGTTCCACACCTCTCCGCACGGAGCAGCAAATGCGCGATTCTCCTTCTGCAAGGATGCTGGGATGTCAACGTCACTTCCGGCCAGTCGCTGCCGTAGAGCGTGCGGTCATTTCCTGGATTTTCCCGCCGGCAGAAGAGTCGGGAGAGAGGCGGCACGAAAATATCGCGAGACACTGAGGCTCTGAACTGATTTTTGACGCTGCCAGTTTACACGATTATGTAAGGGCGAGCAAATTCTATGTCATTTATATATAATTTATAAGCCTATACATACATATATATATACAGTATGTATATATAATTACACCACATTTTACCACGCCCCCGCCATGTAAATTTTATCTTTAAACATATTTTATCTTTAAACAAATACAGAACTAGCCGGGTGGTGGTGGCACACACCTTTAATCCCCGCACTTGGCAGACAGAGGCAGGTGGATCTCTTGAGTTCGAGGCCATCTGAGTCTACAGAGTGAGTTCCAGGACAGCCAGGGGGTACAAGAGAAACCCTGTCTAGAAACCCAAAAGAAATTCAGAGCAGACTGGATGCGTGTCTGCTGTGGGCGTCTGGAATTTAAAATGGTCCGTACTCGTCTGTTTTTTCTTTTTTTTTTTTTTATGTCAGTGCATATAAATGCTTAGAAAGAGCCTGGTGCGGTGGTGCACACCTTTAGTCCCAGCAGAAGCTGAGGCTGGCAAATCTGTGAGTTCGAGGTCTTCCTGGTCTACATAGTGAGTTCCAGGACAGCCAGGATTATGTGGAGAGATATTGTCTCAAAAAAAAAAAACATAAAAAAATAAAATTGATACCTACTGAAGGGACCAGCTTCCCTTTTGGCACCCATAAAGACTGAACACGTGCTCTATGACCTTGTCTTAGTCACTAGAAAGTCAGATGCCTGCCTTGTGACAAATAATCAGAAGTTAGCTGGTGGCGCTGTGCTTTATGGCTCTGGGTGTGCTTTACGGATAAGCACACAGCAATGACGTAGAGAGCATAGCAACCACCCTGGGAGGGCCTATGGGCCATAACAACCAGTTGACCAATCAACACAGGGCAAACCCTCCAAGCCTGGAGGCACACCAATCCTGAGCCTGTGCATACCCCTAGACACTCCCCTTATGCTGCCCTATAAAGATCTGTACGCAGCGGCTTCGAGCTGTCTTTGCTAGCCATCTGCCATGGTGGGTGGGTCAAAGACCCGAGCTAACATGGGGTTAGCTCATTAAACTACAATAAAGCCTCATGCAATTTGCATCAAGCTTTTGCCTCCATTCTGTGATTGGGTGGCCGAGGTCCTGGGCTAAGATTCTGGAAGCCTGAGCTTTCTGGGGGGGGTCTTACACTACTACCTGTAAACTTGACTTCCTTTTGAGCCTTGCCTTGAAGAGAAGACATCAGAACGACACCACAGCTTTTTTATTTTTAAATATTTTATTTAGACAGGAGTTGTGGCACAGGCCTTTAATCTCATCACTCAGGAATATCCAGTTTAAGGACTACTTAGGGAAACCCTGTCTCAGAAAAAAAAAATGTTTTATTTCGTGGCTGGGGAGACGGTTCAAGGATGCTTAAGAGCATATTTTCTTGCAGAGGACTTGCACTCCTGTTCGATCATCGACACTGAGCCTCAGAGCCATTGGTAACTCCAGTTCCAAGGAATCAAACACCCTCCTGTGGGCAACAAGCACACATGGGGTATGCCAGCATACATGCAAGCAAAACACTCTTATAACAAAACAAAACCCTGGCCGGGTGTTGGTGGTGCATGCCTTTAGACCCAGCACTCAGGAGGCGAGTCCAGCCAGGTCTACAGAGCAAGTGCCAGGACAGGCTTTAAAGCTACACAGAGAAACCCCATCTTGAAAAACAAACAAACAAAAACCTTTATTTTTGTTTTATGTGTATGAAGTTTGCCTGTTTGTATATAAGTGCACTGTGTAGTGTCTGGTGCCCACAGGAGTCCTGGAAGTGGAGTTGTAGGTAGCTGTAAACAGCCATCTTGGTGCTGGGAACCAGGTCCTCTGCAAGGGCAGTAAGTGCTTTTAGCCTCTGAATCATCCCATTCCTGGTTGTTCTTTATCTCTAATCAAACAGATATCTTCTGTTTTTCGTTGTGTTTAAATTTTAAGCATGTCTCTGTAATTTCTTTTATGGGAACTTTCACCCTCAGAGGTTGGGTTTATTTTGAAACAAGGTTTTATGCATATCAGACTGGCCTCAAACTCACTATGAGCTGAGAATGACCTTGAATTCTTATTTGTTTGTTTGAGACAGGCTCTATGTAGCCCTGTCTGTCCTGGAACTATGTAGACCCGGGTGACATAAACTCACAGAGATCCACCTACTTCCACCTCCTTGGGACAGAGCCCAAGGCTTGGTGCATGGTAGGCAAACACTGTACTAACTGAGCCACAGCCACAGCCACAGCCACAGCTCTGTTTTGGTTTTTTGAAACAGAGTCTCCGTATCTAGCCCAGGTTTTCCTCCTGCATTGGCAGTCAGAGTGCAGATTAAATGTCTGTGTGACCATCTATGTTCAGTGACTGGATTTAAATACCCCAGTTCTGAAAAGACTGTCCTATAAGCAAATAGAAAGGGATTCGTAGGGAAACCTAAGGTACAGGCAAGAGCACAGTTGATAAGAATGACAGTTAAACTCGCCATATTTAGAAAGACAAAGGAAACCAAAAATATAAGGGAGAGGAGAGAAAGGGAGCAACAGTATAATGGGGGCAGAGAGTAACTAACACCAAAAAATAGCTTGATTTGGGAGCAGGCTGTTTGGGTAGATGGGTAAGCTAGAAGCACTATGTCTCTTTATAGTTCTAACTCCTACTATTTTTGTGTCTTGTGTCCTTAATATGTGTCATTTCCTAGAGTTCTATCTGCAGTTTATGCTTAACTGTGTCTAAATAACTATGTGGTGTTTATTCATCATATAAGATCTGATTAGGTAATTCTTAACATTTAAATAAAGGAATGCTTTCAGGAGGTAAAAGTCTTTTCCTTGCATCTAATCAGTTGTATCTGCCACTTACATAATTCCCTCAATGCTGTTCTTCATAGCTGTCTCCGATTTGGATATTAGTCAAATAAAGTAATTGTCTGAAAATTCCCTATAGTACCTTGTTGAACAAAATACTGGGTCAAGGAGATATGGTATGAAGAAATATTAAAGGGAAAATATAGGAGGCTGGAAAATGGCTTAATACTTAAGAACACAGTGCTTTCCATTCAGTTCCCAGTGCCCACATAAGGTGACTCACAACTGCCTGCAACCCCAGCTCCAGGGCATCTGATTTGTTCTCTTAGCCTCCCTAGGGACACCCATATATATGTGGCTTATACACAGATATGCATACATAAATAAAAACAATAAATTTTGAAAAAAGAGTATACGAGAGTGTAGGTAGTAAGGGCTTACAGTTTTAACATGGTAAGATGACAGTAAGAAGCATGGTTCTAGCCAGGCTGTGGTGGCACATTCCTTTAATCCCAGCACTCAGGAGGCAAGGCAGGAGGATCTCTGTGAGTTCAAGGCCAACCTGGTCTATAGACCCAGTTCCAGATACACCCAGGGCTGTTGCATAGAGAAATCCTGTCTTGAAAAACAGAAGTAGTGCTCAACCATGTTCACTCACTCTCTCCATCTCTCTATCCCTCTCCCCAGATTCTAATATCGGGCTACATCCTCATCAACGTTAAGAGCCCTTTCAGTTTTATGAAGATTTTACGTAAGGTGCTGGCCATGCTGGTGAATACCTGTGATCCCATCACTTAGTAAGTGAGGCAAGAGGATCAAGGAGTTCAAGGCCAGCCTTCGGTACATAGTGAGGTCAAGATCAGCCTAGGCAATATTTACTTTTGAGGAAGGACTTTTATCCAAGCTGGACTGAAATTCACTCTGTATTCCAGACTGGCTTCAAACTACCAATCCTGCCTCAACCTTCCAAGTGATGGGAGGTATATGTTGCTTTGTCTAGCAGGGGAAGTTCTACTTATGGAAGTAGAGGGATAGATCATTTTTTTGGATTTATACTGCTCTGACTAACTAGAAGAAGTGGGGAGGCAAAGATGGAATGTACTTTTTAAAAGGTATCTGAGTCATTATTAAGTCAATGAGGATTTAGCAGGAAAAAGATCTCAGAAAAGAAAAACAACCCAGTGTTGTAGTTCAAATACAGTTGTCCTCTTGTCATGTAGGAATCCAATCCCCAGGGTCTAATGCTGGTGGAATTAAGAAAGTATAGATGTCCTGGATACAGTGGTGGTGCACACCTTTAATCCCAGCACTCGGAAGGCAGTGGCGGGCAGATCTCTGTGAGTTTGAGACCAGCCTGGTCTACAAGAGCTTGTGCCAGGACAGCCTCCAAAGCCACAGAGAAACTCTTCTCTCAAAAAAAAAAAAAAAAAAAAAAAAAAAAAAAAAAGCTTTGCTGTGATGCTTGGACCTCTAGCCTCCAAACCTGTGTACTGATACTTCCCTCCCAGTTTTATTTGAAAAGATTTTTCTTCTTTTTTAAGATTATGTGTGTGTGTGTGTGTGTGTGTGTGTGTGTGTGTGTGTGTGTGTGTACATGGCATAGCCATGTGAACCACAGCATGCTATTGAGAACAGAGGACCATTTGCTGAAATTGGTTCTCTGTTTCCAACTATGTGGGCCCTGGAAATCAAACTCAGGTTCTCAGACTTGGTGACAAGTGCCTTTACCAACAGAGCCACCTCATTTTCCCTCTTTGTTTTTTGTTTGTTTTTGGTTTTGTTTGTTTGTTTGTTTGTTTGTTTTGAGACAGAGTTTCTCTGTGTAGCCTTGGCTGGGCTGTCCTGGAACTTACTCTATAGATCAGACTGGCCTCAAACTCACAGAGATATATCAGCCTCAGCCTCCAGAGTGCTGGGGGATTATAGGCATGTACCATCATTTTCTGGCTTCTCCCTCCATTAAAAAAAACAAACAAAGCAAAAAACCTTTTCTTTTAAAATTACATGTACGTGTTTATATCTATGTTGTAAGCTTGCAAATATGGGTGCTGGGAATTGAACTCAAGT